AGAGCCTTCCAAATTGCTGCAGAAATGAGAAGATACAACCTAGAGGTACTTGGGATCAGTGAAACACATTGGACACAAGTTGGACAACAACGACTAACTTCAGGAGAGCTCCTGTTATACTCCGGCCATGAAGAAGAAAATGCCCACATACACAAGGAGTTGCATTGATGCTGTCCAAACAAGCACAAAATGCACTTATAGGATGGGAATCTCATGGACCAAGGATCATCAAAGCCTCGTTCAAAACAAAGAAAGAGGGCATTTCAATGAACATCATCCAATGCTATGCGCCTACCAACGACTACAATGAAGACGCTAAAGATCAATTCTACAATAGGCTGCAGTCAATCGTCGAGAAGTGCCCAACAAAGGACCTGACCATTCTGATGGGAGATTTCAACGCCAAGGTTGGAACGGACAACACTGGATATGAAGACATCATGGGACGACACGGACTGGGAGAAAGGAACGAAAATGGTGAGAGATTTGCAAACCTATGTGCCTTCAATAAACTGGTCATAGGCGGCACCATATTCCCACATAAACGCATACACAAAACCACATGGACTTCACCGGATCACACTACGCAAAACCAAATCGACCATATTTGCATCAACAAAACGTTCAGGAGGACTATAGAGGACGTGAGAACCAAGAGAGGAGCTGATATAGCATCAGATCATCACTTGCTGGTCGCCAAGATGAAATTGAAACTCAAGAAGCACTGGACAATGGGGCGGACAATATCACAAAAGTTCAATACGGCCTTTCTTCAGGATACTAACAAACTCAACAAATTCAAGATAGTCCTCAGCAACAAGTTCCAGGCCTTTCATGATCTACTCAATGGAGAAGGAACTACTGTGGAGAGCAACTGGAAGGGGATCAAAGAGGCAATCACTTCAACATGTCATGAGGTCCTGGGTCACAAGAAGCACCATCACAAGGAATGGATCACTGTTGATACACTGGATAAGATTCAAGAAAGGAGGAACAAGAAGGCAGCAATCAATACCAGTCGAACAAGAGCAGAAAAAGCCAAGGCACAAGCTGAATACACAGAAGTAAACAAACAAGTGAAGAGGAGCATCAGAACCGACAAACAAAAAAAAAAAAAAAAAAAAAAACGACAGTGGAAAAGGCTGCAAGAGAAGGAAACATGAGACAACTGTATGACATAACAAAGAAACTCTCTGGAAATCGCCGCAAACCAGAACGACCAGTGAAAAGCAAGGAAGGCGAGGTAATCACCAACATTGAAGAGCAACGAAACAAGTGGGTAGAAAAAAAAAAAAAAAAAAAAAAAAAAAAAAAAACACTGAACCCACCCAACATCGAGGCAGCACCCACGGACCTCCCAATCGATGTTGGCCCACCGACAATTGACGAAATCAGCATGGCGATCAGGCAAATCAAGAGTGGCAAAGCAGCAGGACCATACAACATTCCAGCAGAGGCGCTAAAAGCAGGCGTAGCGGTAACTGCAAGGATACACCACATTCTTTTCAATAAGATTTGGGATGAGGAACAAGTACCAAAAGACTGGAAAGAAGGACTTCTGATCAAAATACTGAAGAAAGGCGATCTCAGCAACTGTGATAACTACAGGGGTACCACTCTTTTCTCAATACCGGGAAAAGTCTTCAACAGGGTATTGTTAAACAGGATGAAGGGCTGCGTACACGCTCAACTTCGTAACCAACAGGCAGGATTATGTAAGGATAGATCGTGTACAGACCAAATCGCAACTCTACGGATCATTGTGGAACAATCAATTGAATGAAATTTATCACTCTACAGCAATTTTATTCACTACGAGAAAACACTCGATAGCGTGGATAGGACAACACTATAGAGGCTTCTTCGACACTACGACATACCTGAAAAGATAGTCATTATCATACGGAATTCATATGATGGATTACACTGCAAAATCGTGCATGGAGGACAGTTGACAAAGTCGTTCGAAGTTAATACCGGTGTCAGGCAAGGTTGCTTACTCTCACCCTTTCCCTTTCTCCTGGTGATCGACTGGATCATAAAGACACCAACATCGGAAGGGAAACATGGGATACAATGGACATCTAGGATGTAGTTGGACGATCTAGACTTCGCAGATGATCTGGCCCTTCTATCCCAAACGCAACAACAAATGCAGGAGAAGACGAACAGTGTGGCAGCAGCAGTAGGTCTCAATATACACAAAGGGAAAAGCAAGATTCTCCGATACAACACAGCATGCACCAATCCAATCACAATTGACGGAGAAGATTTGGAAAATGTAAAAACCTTTACATATCTGGGCAGCATCATTGATGAACACGGTGGATCTGATGCAGATGTGAAGGCGCGGATCGGCAAAGCAAGAGCAGCATATTTACAACTGAATAACATCTGGAACTCAAAGCAACTGTCAACCAACACCAAGATCAGGATTCCCAATACAAATATCAAGACAGTTCTACTGTATGGGGCGGAAACCTGGGGAACTACGAAAGCCATCATCCAGTTGTCTACGCAAAATACTTCGGATCCGTTGGCCGGACACTATTAGCAACAACCTACTGTGGGAGAGAACAAACCAGATCCCAGCGGAGGAAGAAATCAGGAAGAAGCGCTGGAAGTGGATACGACACATACTGAGGAAAGCACCCAACTGAGTCACAAGACAAGCCCTCACATGGAATCCTCAAGGCCAAAGGAAAAGAGGAAGACCAAAGAACAGATTACGCCGGGAAATGGAAATAGACATGAAAAACATGAACAAGAATTGGATGGAACTAGAAAAAAAGGCCCAGGACAGAGTGGGTTGGAGAATGCTGGTCTGCGGTCTATGCTCCATTAGGAGTAACAGGCGTAAGTAAGTATTGGTTGTAACATACACATAATCAATGATTTATCCACACTTGATTGACACTCAAAAATATATATGGATTTTTAACACATACATATACACGCTCTTGGTTTCACAGTGTGCTTGCTCGCTGTACGCTTGAGGATTTTATTTATCTTTAACAATAAAATATCTCCACAACTGATGTTCAGGCTTCTGAATAATCTCGAGTAAATCCATAATTCTACTAGGATATTTAGCCTACCTGAAATACTCAGTTAACGGGATATCAGATATAGAGGGAATTAGCCACAACAGGAAAAGTCACCTCGATATATTTTTGACAGATTATATGATATTGGTGTTATTTCTTCTGTAGGTCTCAACATTCCCAACACCTTTTCTGAAATAAAACCTTTCTGTTTAATTTGTTTCAATAATTCTATTGGTTATCTTTCAATCCTGTTTACCGTACTACTCTTAATTACCGGTTTCGGAAATTTACTCCTATCATTTAAAACGGCCTTCACTCTGTTCAAACAGTCGCTTTTATCCATTAGAAATAAACCATGACCTTTGTCTGGATTCGTGATCAAAAACTTGACGTCAGTTCCATGTTTCCGTAAACTTTGCTTGTGACTTTTTGTCAAAATCATCTTCGAATTATGCTTATCATTTAGATGCCCCCAAATGCACTGGTACGGCCGAGAATGGAGAGAGTCCGCTCTCCCTCTCAAAATGCTCCCACATGGCCACGAGTATATAGCCTCTACTCACTGCCTTCTCGCACTACGGGTGTTGTTTACGAAATTGAGAGGACAAAAAGCGAATGTCCAGTGCTTTAACCGGGTTGGTGGACATGGAGAGTCCACCTAGAGGAGTTGGAAAACCCTGATTCCAAGCCAATGGTGCACATGGACTGCAGTATCCTGAAGGAACAAATGGCCTTAGAACCAATCGTTGGTCACCGGCTTCCATAAGACTGCATCTCCTTACGATGCTCCACTGTCTTATGGATCAGACCTTCAGGTCGAAGGCTCCGGGTGTGGCCCCCTAAGAAAACCGCCTGCTTCGGTTTGGGCACCCGGGCAGTATCACAGCCCTCACAGAAATCAAATGAGATTTGTGTGGCGCATATGTATTTGGTGCCTCCTTGTACAAATATCTATGTGTTAAAATAAAAATAAAATAATAATCTTTTGATGGAATTACTGACTGCAGTTTGGACATAAAGGTTTTCAATCTCAATTTCAACGTCAATTTTATTAACTGCTTTTTAAGTCACAAAACTTAGGCCCTAATGATAACGCTTTTAACTCAATCTTATTGAGATTAACAGTGGAAAAATTGCGTATATACCGAGATGGGAATTTTATTTCTGGAATCTGTTTGTTTAGGTTTTACTTTTCCTGTATAAACCATCATCTTAACATGGTTCAAAAATTGTTCCTTTGAGTTACCAGGAGGTTCTTCAATAGCATCAACTTTCTTGACATTTTTTAAAAATTTCATTAATATATAAATTTAGAGAATCAATTTGATTTAGTGCATAACGTTTGAGTCAGTCAATTATATCGAACTTTAAATCGAAGTAAAGATTTCTAATATACTTTTGATGCAGATTAGTTTCCGCACACTCTTATAAAATAAACATTTATTTTCGCCTCACTGAGCCTTGAGGTGTAGTTCAAATATGCATTAAGAACCTTTAACCCAAACTATTGCTCAGATCTCAGTATAGTTAAAATTTCCTTTTAGACATTTATTAAAATGACGAAGAGACTGGAAAAATTCCCTTTCAATAGGTTTTTTTATCAACAGAAACTTTACACCACAAACTTCTTTTTGAGATATATTCGAACATTCACTAAGGACCGAATTTAGCGGCTATCTAAAATAGTACAACCTCAGAAAATTTTCATTGAGTCCCGATTGACTTAATGTATAATCAGATTTGAAAATAGTTTTCACAACGTTGACAGAATCCTTTGTATTGGTTTTAAAGATTTGAAGGACTATTAGAAATTCCATAATGGCCCCTGATATGAAACGGACTCAATCATAATACTGATTATTAGGTTTGATCAAGATAACCAATGAATTCATGAATGTTCCATTAGTGTTGAAAAAGGGATAAATCAAATACTAAATTTAAGACAGTACATACTTGTTTTATCTTCAATTCATTTCCAGAGAACTTCACACCTTGTAAGGCTTTTATAAGACGGACTGCGGCCTCCGAAGTCTCCATAATGAGATAAGCGTAAATAGATGGGGGTTTACTCTTTTTACTGCCTACTATTTTTATTGTTTGAACCTAGAAAAAAATCCACATTGAGAATCTTATTTACATTTTAACGTACATAAAACAAAATTATGTTTAAAAGTAACCATCAGTAAGGCTGTAATCATATGATTTCAAATGATGCTTGTTAGCAAAAAGCAGCCAGGCTGCCAAATGCACAAGACATCAAATGATCATATTCGCCTTTTATCATCAGATGGTAAGTATAACCGATCTATGCAATCAAAACAATACTGTTTAAATATCTTCTGTTTATATATAACTTCCGTTATTCATCAGATTTAAGCCTCACTTAGTAGTTTAGAAAGCGAAGTCCATTGACGACTCAACATTTTTGAATTAACTCATTCACTAAGGCACTTGTGTATGAGGTACACTCTAATTGTGAAGGCTATTGATACCACTCGGCTGCCTGAACTGAAGCAGGAGCAACAGCTGTGACCAAGTACTTGGCTTAATAGCTGAAAATCGAACGCCTCAACCACTAGCCCACTACTCTTGTACAGTGTGGTTAACAGTCTTTAGGGTAACGTAAGAGTCAATAACAAAAAATGCTTGTTACAGGAAATTAATTGGCTATACGAAAGTGTGACAACACATTGGCTGATGGATAATTTTAAAAGTATAAAACATCCTGAACGCAATAAACCGTACTCGTTTGACTTTAATGACCTAAACCACATGAAATATTAATCAGATGATTGATAAACACATAATTAAGGAATATTTACGACCATTATGCAGTTTTCTTTTTTTGTTTTATCAATTACTTCAAATAAGAACTGCAGTTCAAATGTTACTAAGTTTAGATTCTAAGAAAGCAGTAATTGTTATCGATAAAGACGCAGTCAGTAAGGCTACAGTATCAACAAACAACTTACTTTTCCGTATGGTGCACACATTTCTTTAATATCTACTGCTCGAACACCTTGAGGGAGATTGCTTATCCATAAATACTTTGACGAGGATACTACGAAAATAAATGGAAGTCGAAAGTATACTCAAATATATGGTTATATATAACGACTGGGAGGTATTAGTTTTACACGAAAAAGGTTTAGGTGAACCAGACCCTGAAGAATAATATATTATGTATAGAGTCTGTGACCCAGGTAATAGCAGTTAAATTACAATAATTATTCATCAACTTATTTGAAAAAACTTAGTTATTACTTGAAACTGTTCGACAGATTTAGAGTACTCAACTGTTGTAATGAAGATTATCAATGCATTAAAGGGTCCGAATTAAATGAACACGAATTCCAATAAAGGTCAACTTGTGATATAATTCAATCACATATTTTCACCGTCTTATTCAAGCAAAAATGAGTAAACTCTAGTGGGTAATAATAACCTCCATAATGATAAATGAGACAACACGAGAATGGAGTCAATAAAATAAAGAATTGTCGGGAAAATATATAATCTTTACATACGATAAAGATCATCCATTATGCTGTTTCTGGGTAAAATGATCTACTCCAAAGGCTATATTGTTTGCATTGGCATTGTAAACTCAGTTTCAAAATTATATACATATAAAAGCTAGAGCACTATATTTGGATAAATTTCAATCACTTACGATCGCTTTTTGATCCATCGTTTGTTACATTTTTCGAATCAGATGGGGAACTAGAGCGATTGGAATGTTCAGGATGGAGTACAGTAGAAATACGATGAAAACCCTCGTTAGACGATATACATAGGCGCTTAGAGTCATGATGGTTATGAAAATCTAGCTTAGATTGAAAAACTGGATCATTGGCACACTGTAAAGAAATAAAATATACTTAATCGTGACAACTGAATGTAAAGAACCATCAAGTACATATGATAGGTTGAATTAATTCAATATCTTAATTATTTTGAACGGTGGTATTTTGGGTGATGTAAAAATCAATAAACATAGTACATCTCCGTAATAGGAACAATAATTTATCTTGTCAATAAGATGAGCTCACTTGGAAAGGAAAAAAATGGTTAAGAACTGGACTTCAGTCTTGAATTATTAGGGCACGGAAAAATACTAAATCATTTTCATATTGAACGTAATAGAAAGTTTTTTTAACTTTCATATGTAGACAAGGAATAAAGAAATAAGCCAATGCAACTTAGTAATCAATTACCGATTCCTGTACTTGGAGCTTTTGGAAACTATAGACAGAAAGTGGTTACTGTAGCGAAATAGAAGGGATAAGACTTAGACCTGTGATTTTATGACTGAAATTTGAGTGTATAAATCACCAAATCATCACTAATTTTATGACTTATCATTAAGCGAAAATTCATAGTTATACGTCAAAAAGTACTATACGCTTAACAAGTAATAACAGAATTATTACGCAACAATAACACTTTTTGGTGTTATAATCTGGCAGAATTTTTCATGTTAAATCAGACACCTAAAAAGTTCGGAACTGTCAAATAGATTTTGCTAAAATTAAAGAAAAAGGACCAAATGCAGTTAATCAAGGTTCAAAAGTAAAATGGCATTTATTTAAAGTCGAAGCAGCAACGGAGGGAAATGATGGTTCAACTTGAATTGAACAAATGTGGAAAAGCTTCCTAAGACGGCACAAAAGATGTTAGTTGATGGAAAACAACAACTATAGTCGGTTGCTTAGTCTTGCAGTGAAGTAAATATTAAAACATGAGGTTCGGGACTGTTTTTCGAACTATTATTGTTCATATTTTTATTGTACAGTAAGTAGATGACCGTATAATTGCATATCTATATTATGCTTACTGTAAACTTCCATTTGACTCACTAACCATCGCCATACGTCTAATTATTCCTAAACTGTTATCAGTCGACTACCTACAATTTGCCCGTCTTCACTACTACTTTTGGCATGTGTGTTTAAACTACGATTTTTTTATTTTATGGTGCACTGCAACCCAATTCCTTGTGTGTATAAGCCAATGAATGCTTGGGATAATTCCTGAGTTGTGATGGTTGGAATATGATATAGTAGTTTGACTCCAGTTTTCCCTTTGGACTTAGGGTTAGGGATAGCAAACGATGCATAATGGAGAATCAGTAAGAGTTAAAATACGTTAGCTCAAAACGAATTGTGTTGGTTAGAACGCATCATATTATAGGTCAAAACCTAAGACGGTCATTAACGTAATATTAGGCGTGGGGTAGGGAAAATACCACAACTCTGACGGGCAAACTTAGCAAATGATATAGATCAATCGTTTAGACACAACACTGATGAGTTATCAAGGCCTATATATATATATATATATATATATATATATATATATATATCACGAGTAGAATAACGCAGCGTTTATATACAAAACTGCAACTTACAGAGGATGCAATGCTAGGGGAGGTGGTAATCCAGTGGGAGGGAAGAAAACTGGTTTTTGTTCACTAGATAGCGTAGGTGTATAATTATGAACTTGTAAATAATAATTCAGATAGTGATTAAAATAGCGATGCCACTGAGATGTGTATTCCTGTGTATTAGGGGCTAAGTTACTCCCGGTATTATTAGACATAAACTTTAAAGTCTCTTGATAGGCGGAAGAATACGCCATCGAATAAGCAGTCTGTATACTAGCTGACTGTGCGTGATTAGGAATAATTGCCGGTATATGAGGATTTTGACCAATGCATTGATTAGGTATATCTCTGAGAACGTCATGAGGAAGTTGAGACGCCGGGATGAATTTGGACGGAGACACAGATGCTGGACGTTCAACGGAAATAACAGGCATCAGAGTCGGTGGAAATGATTGGAGAGATATTGAAGGAGGAGAACCAATAGGAGTGCCGAACGGTGGGGGTTGGATGCTGACATTAGGTGTTGATCCAATAGTAGCTACAGCACGCTGATAAAGTTGACAGGCTTTCTGATACATCATATGCATCTGAATTAAATAAATCACAATATACCCTCAATAACTCCTGATAGCCAAGGGCTAACGAAGTAAACATACATATTAGGCAGATGAAAAATAAAGTAGCACACGAAATGCATAGAATAAACAAACTGGATCTGTAGGAGTATAGCCCAATTACAACTTATTTGATTAGGTAGCATGATTTTTAAAAGCTTAACTAGTTTACGGTGAGTTGACAGTCTACAAACCGACAATGGAATGTTTAGTGGTTGGTTCTGTATAAAGCTGAAGGTATTCATTGTTGAATCACAAACTATAACATAGGTTTTAAAAGGCTCACTAACTTAAGTGATTTATCCTAATTGATGCTAGAATACTATCACATGCTTAAATTTCGAACATTTTTATATGAATCTAAGTTTGGAAATTAAAATTTTATCAACAAGTTTAAACAAACAATCGAAACTGATAAATTGAAATTAATTGACTCCCCAGTATTTAAACAGTTCGTAGTCAAACTTATCATATCAGATCGAATTTTACATAAAATTTCGTTTTGGAATTTATGTGTTGAATTAACTGATTTATTATGATGTTGAATCAATCAAGTTACAAAATTAAAACGATAATCTAGCCCTAATACCATTTCACACACTACTGGAATAAAACAAAAAACAACAGTGACGTATGGTTTATTTAAAAAATCCAAAAATATATGCATAACATGATGAGCGGTTCTTACCTTTTCAATTTCTTGTTGAGAACCTAATGCAGATGAAGGAGGAATGGCTACCTGCCAAGAGCCGGACAAACCAAAACGATTATCACCGTTAATGTTTTCGGAAACGGCTTTAACAGAAGCAACCCTTTGCACAGAATTTTGTGCTAGTTTCGGTGTCCCACCAGGGACAAAACCAGGAAACACACTCTGATGTACTGTATTTTATGGATAAAAACAATAATTATAAGTGAAATATACTGAAATAACTACAGCTCCCACAAATGAATTTCATTTATCACTTAAATACATATGCAAACTTGTTATCAGACCTAAATTCTCCAGGTGATGAAACAAGAAAAAGAACACCAACACTCAACATGATTTTATATTTTATCAAGAAATAATAAGTGATGAGATAAAATAAATATTTGGGAACAAATAAGCCATGCAGTGTATACAGTATTCCCCGAAACTTAACTCTCAAAAAAGGAACTGTAAAACTTTCTATTACTTAAATACTTGAGTATAACAAACTGTCAACGATAACGTTTGAGTATTGAAGCGACGATAATCCTAGGAGACGGCATAATTTAAGACACGAGGAACAGAACATACAAAACTCATAGACGTAGAGGATTAAATTATCACGTTTTGCAACAGTACGCAATTTAGCGAAGCTAACAATGGTTCCAAAGTAAAAGGCTGTGTAAACTATGGAAATGGAGATAACAAAGGCAAATGAAAGGAAAGGATAAAGGTTTTCTATTAGCAACGGATATTCTATGTAGTCGGCAGTGCAGTTGTGGCCTATAGTAGAAGCCTAACTATGGTGTATTAGAACCAACAGTTTAAATATTGTGCAAAATTAGATTTTAGTTTTACTAGGTATAAGATGGTCACTCGAAATGGCAATAACATGATACGTAAGTTAATTTCATTCACTTACTAGAGAATTTAAAACATCCAGGCTGGTTTGACAAGGTTCTAAAACCGAATACCTTCGACAATTTCATCAGTTACTAGTCCATTTTATCAAAAACAGGAAATATGTATGTAAAAACTTAACAGAAACTTTATGAAAGAAACTATTATGTATTAACGCGTACATGCCTTAAAGGGTAAGGAAGCAATAAACTGGATGGAGCTTCAGTCTACCGATATTTATGACAGTATATATGCATCTAAAGCTATTGTTATGATGATAAGATGATGAAATATATTAAAGGTTTTCAATTGTTTAGTTCAGATTTCTCGGGTAGGTATTCAAATCTAGCTTCAAATCTAAAGAGCTAAACATGAATATTAATGAGCTAAAAACAATTTGTATCTGGTTGTAAATGCCAGTTTGTCACTGAGTTTCTCTCGCCTTCAGGTACACATAATTAAATTTATAGTTGCCTTTATAAAAGACAACAACAGAAAAGACAAAACACTCGCAAAAATTAAGCTTAAAAATGCACATACCTTGTTGAGAGGAACTGGGATAGGGAGTAGAAGTATGATTATGTTCATTCTGAAATGGATAGAAAATGGAGTTGATGAATTGAAGGATATGTAGTAGCCTTCGGTTATAACACACCGTAAAATCCTGTCACACACGGTTAAAAATTTAATCTGAAACACCGAATACTGGTAATCACCAAAATAACTGCTTTAAAATATTTTTTAATATGAAAATGAAACATTCAATTAAAAGTACATATAAATTATAGATTTGCGTACAACCACGTGGTGGAAAACTGAATTCCCTAGGTGGCCAGAAGTTCAATACACAAAAATAAAGTTAGCGACCACATAGCTGACGTGCTCAACTACTCTATGGTATACATTCAATCGGGACGCTGACGCAACAGTACGGAATCAGCAGTTTGGAAAGACACACGAATCCCGAACCCTATGTTGCTACAAAGGATGCTTATTAGGAGAGACTGTGTTATTGATGAATCTTTCAAGGAAAAATAGGTCAATCTACAAAACATCAGATAACGAACGTATCAATTCTAGTAGAATATTTGACTGAGGGGTTTGACGTACAGCTACTAGGCCGCAATTAGGAACTCTGCCCTAAATTATTTGGTTTGGGTAGCTAGTTAGTATCATCAGCTCACATAGTGTGGCTGATATCACAGCAACTGTTGAATAAGCTATTCTTATTCATAAAATATTTGTTAACCTTAGTAAGGTCGAATAGAAAGTCTATAGCGGAGTAATTTATCGATTTGTCACGGTTTGATATGATGGGCAATGTCACAAGGTCGTCCGAACAGGAGTCAAACGCTATTTTCCTATCTAGTATGAACAGTATATGAATATGAACCTTATATTATTCATTAAGCAGGCCAATAAATTCTCAGCTCCGCTGGTTGAAATAGATGTATAGGATGACATGACTAGGATGATAAGTATAACGAATTGTTACTAAGTTCCTAAGATTAGATTATTCATCGAATGTAAACGTTTCATTGAATTTTGTTGAGACCTCTATTGAATGTATAGAGAACTACATTTCCGGTTGATTGTAGAGTCAAAAGAACAAATGGTAAACCGACTAAATTTCAAACTCTTAGAAAATTTTTTTTTATACTCGCCGTTTTAAATATGCGCCTTCTTAACGGTCTCCCTTGTTAACGATTGTCCCCTTGATAGTGCCCTTACGAATGGATACCAGCGATCATCACTCAAGCTTAAAATTAAGTGCAGACTTGCTTTCGCCTGTTTTAAATCCGACCACATAAGTTTCAAAGCATCTGTGGTAAGCCCACTCAATTATTTCATTATTTGTTTACTCGCTGTAATTTAGACATTTAATCCATTGTGTAAAATTGTGTGGGTCCAATTGGGCACATGTCTGTACATTAATCTTTATCTATTCTCCACAATCGACTAACACTCATAAGTATATATGGATTCTCAACACACACTATTCTCTGCGTGCTTGCTATCTGTGCACTTGAGGACGTTTACTAATCATCAGCAATAAACTATCTCTACAACTGGCGTTTCGGGCTTTTGAATAATCTCGAGTAAATTCATACTACTGGAGATTTAGCCTGCGTAAATACTCAGTTAACGCGACACTATTTATTGGAGTCAGATATAGAGGAAATTGACCTTTACACGTCCATTAATCAGGGAATCATCAAGATTCACTGGTCTTATTTATGTGCTAAAGGTTGTTGCGAGGCGTTACAGATGCCATTAGAGAATCGAGTTTTATGCCAAATGATTCTGCTTTATGTTACTATGATTGCGTAGCTTGTTCCTTTCTAGTTTCGTTTATTTTCATGAGACCAGGTCCAGGTCTTGTAACTGTCATCCCTTTAGTGATAAGCAAACACATGTAACGAAATCGCAGGTGGTTGAAGAGTAATGTCTTCAGAGGGCGAAGATACTATAAGTGCAATACAGTAAATTAAACAGGTAAAACCATCGTATGTAAAACCTAGATGTATATCAGTACAGGAAACGTTTAAAATGGTATCAGTTTACTTGATTAGTTGCAACCTCTAGTTGCATCTGTAGCTGCACCTTTTCTAAGTCCCGTAGACCCTGAAGATGTTTAGTTGACTTAACAGACATTGAGGTATGAAATGGTTCAACCTGCTCCGACAATATTTGTGGATCTAAAGGATATTTTGAATGCTGTAGATTCTTACCTGAAGCCCTAGCACAATTGACTATAGACTGCAACTTAGTTGTTTGGTTTTCATGAGACGAAGTTTGACCACGAACTTCTGATTTGGTATTAGCAGGACTTGTATTTGTTTTCTTTGACACATTGGCAGTATCCGTTATTTTGACAGGTCTACTTTTATGGGACCGGATATGATGTACTGATGGCATATTTAGCGTAGAAAGTGATAATCCCCCGTTTTGTGACATTTCTGACGTACAGCTCTCATATCCATGCTTTGGTGATGGGTTGTTGTAAGACTTTGATGAACCGCTATTACTCGAAAAGTCTAAAGACGACTAAGTCATTATTAAACCTCATACCTGAGACATTATCTTCTTGGTCAGACAAATCGTTGACCTCTCCTTCCTCTGCCTCATCGGGCTTTAAGTGAGAATCTAGTACATATTCTATTAGGCAGTTAATTAGCTGGCCGGTATTTACTTTTATCAGTAATTCGTGACTCCACGTTTTCCCTGGAAATAAAAATAAACTATTTAACGCTCAATACTGGGAACTAGATTTGAAACCGCAAACTTTATGTCGAAAATCCACTACTTTGGAAAGTTACTAATAGCGAGTCACCAAGATAGTTCAATCAAGTTTTATTCTATTACGAGGCATGAATATATATGGAGGAACATTAAGAGTACCGATGACACCTTAGTTGATGTTATGCATACACCCTAACCGCTCATTGGGCCCCTCTTAGATTGTCAGGGATTAACTTCGAGGCTACATATTGCTTGCACAAATAGCTAAATATTCTAGTAACGAAGTCTTTTAGTCTGTCAAGAGAAATATTCAGTGGATAAACATGAAACCTGTCGTTTACTGCTTAAAATCAGTGAAGCATCCTCATTCTTAACATTTTCGAAGTAAAATACAATAATGGACCAACCTGAGGTCAATGTACTGGAGCAACACAGGGAAAATCTCGACTAACTAACCATGAGAACAAAGTGGAAAATATGGCCACTCGTCTTACAAGTACACACGCGAGACAACTGTAGGCAAAAAATCAGTTACAGGAGCCATGGTAGCTAGCTAGTTATATTAAACTAATTAGGACAACGTAATAAGGAACTATCCACACGGTGAAATCAATCAAAGAAACAAGTCGCCAACTGACTGACAAAACGCCTACAAAGTAGTGTCATGTGGCCAAACATATTCAGATTTTTATCTTTGTACTTTATTACTACAATAGGAGAATTTTTAAGCCAACTCTACCCATGGGACTAGTACTTAACACTATCTGTGGGACTAAGATTTCCTTCCTTAGATATACACTCCCTGAGCTTGTGAAGAGCTAAACCTTTGTGAGAAAATAAAAGTAATGTGTTTTGAAGACAAATTATGGTCCGTTACTGCCAAACTGAAGCATTTAACCTGAATTCGAAGAGTTTGAAGCCTTCAACTCATATGTCCGGAAGTTTGGACTATAAACAAAACATTGTCACTGCTCCACGGACTAAAAGGCCTTAAGTTTGATCTTATATTCAAAGAACGTAAAACAATATACACGAAGACGAGAAATAACGTCTGGACCGATGACCGGCACATCCTCACATCAATATTAGAAAGCCCGCCTGTGACGCATACTCAAACTACTAACCTAAAACTTTCTGTCATGTTCCTCGAAACTTAGGAAGAGGTTGACTTGCATGTGTTGCGGTCATCAATCTATTTATTGGGCGTACATGACTCAGTCTCAAAGGTGTATTCTGAGTTTCTTTTTTCCTGACGATGAAAAGCGTTGGGTAGTATGAAGATTGCTTGTTTCTTCATGAGGATCTGAGACTACTTAACATTAGGACAAACGACATTACACTAACTTTTAATTCTATGACTTGTTAGGCCATTCATCTTAGATGTAATGTGAAGTATAAGTATGATGGATAACGCATTATCAAATATCTCTAGGTAGAATGTGTTTTCACTCCTAATTTCGCACAACATTAGGCCTTGTAGCAAGTTTAGGCGAATACCTAAGCGGGGGAGTTGACCGGCAACCTGCCGTTATACTAGAAGCACCAGGAAACTTATTTACTTCCCTTATCATATTTCTTATTTTTGTCTGCTGAACGACGAAGAAATTTTCATGTGGGTCCGACCAAGGCTAAACCTTTTCATTTGCTTCAGAGTATGAATTGGATGAACTGCTTCAAATCTACAGATCTGAAGTCTTCGGTACCTCTATTTTAAACGAGGAACCGTCTCTTATCACCGTATAAAAGACGTATACGCTTAAACCACATATGGGTAAATTAGTTCCTGACTACTAATCTAATTATTTAATTAAGAATACATTATGAAATGATAAATACTGTGGTTACTTGAACGCACAAATGACAGTGTGCTATACATTAAGTTTACATGGTTGCGTTGCGGATAAGATCACCCCTTTTCGAACGGTCTGAAATCTAAGGGTTTATTTTGGTCTTCACGAATATTTTGTGACGTCATTCAGAGTGCAGAAACATGGTGTTTTCACCCATATTCGAGGGACAAAAACGTTTTGAATTGTATTATGACAACTAGCAGTGACCAAATTCAGTATGCTAACTATTAACTCATAACTGTCTAATAAAAGACCTGAAAGGGACTATCCGTCAGCACAAACATCAAACGTATCCCTTTAGTGGTCACAAAATTAGTTCCTGTTATCGATTTAAAAACCTGCGAATGAGCACACAAGTGTACTAAATCCCCGTCCTGCCAAGTATAAAAGGGAGTTTTACGTTAAACAAGGACTCGTTACGTTTCTCTTCTAAGAATCTTTTAAATCAGCTGCTCAGATTCAGTCCAACCATCAGTCACTGAACGAAGAAATATAAGCTATAATTATTATGCTCTAGTAACCTACACATACCTAAGCGGTGTGAAAAAGCCATCTCGAGTTTCGTCACAAATACAGTCAGGAACGAGTTTCAACATTTCGACAGGTTTTTAAAATCTGTAAGGATATTACCCCAATACTATTTTATCCTGTAGCCATGATTGTAAAATAGAGCAAGTGGTGTCGTATGTATAACACCATAGTTCCAAACAAACAAAAACTTCGGATCATGTTATGGAGTGCACTACGTATCCAGATGAATTAAAGTAATATGTAACAGGGATTGAAAGTGGAAAATTGAAATAAAGAGAAGGGGAAAGAAAACAAAGAACAAACGGAATAACAACAGGATTCAAAGAATGCTGGATTTTGTGAAGGACGACTCAGGGAAGATATGTAAATGATGTATTTGACGCATTATTGTCATTACTAAAAAGGTACTGTATAATTTTGCATAAGACAATAAATTGGTTTACCATATTTGAGTTCTCGTTCATCACAATGTGAGTGGTTATAAGGATGTGAATATGAGAAATAAAGGGGATATATTTCAACAAAAGACCAGGTATAAATAATTACCAGAAGACAGTTATGTAATAACTTGCCGTCGTATTCTAACTAGCCATAATGTTATCTCAGTAGAACAATGAATCGTTTAGATTGTAGAATCCTGATCTGATGAAACCGACTGGTCATGATTCGACTCTAATATTTATATAGAAGTCACATTGTTTTCATCCTAAGTCGCTCTATAGTGGAGCTCGGAATTTTTTAATTTATGAGGAGTTATGATGGACAAATACAGCCTTACGTACATAAAAACAAACTTCATATAAAGACGAAACAAGTACTCAGGGTGATCGCTCTTTTATTCCTGGACAAGACAGCGTCGAAGTGCTTCCATCGCCAACCTGAGCTTTCATACAACATTAATACGCTGACGCTGAGGTACTAATTAAAGATACAGGCAACATACACATAACACCCGGTATGATATTTGGAGAACTGAAGTCCCTTTGATGGAATAAGTCAGCACGTTCTCATTAAAACCGTCCCACAGTATAAAAACAATGCATACAGACCATTCTTATACCGGCACACATCTTATTTTAGGCGCCTATCGGAATAACGAGCTCCACCTGTAACTTTTCTAGGGTGACTGATGGTTCCAAGTCAAAGTAAATGAGTAGGGTTGGTCATAAGGTCGGCAGTCCCATCCCGTGAAAAACAACCCTACAAAAGAAACGCTTGCCAGAAGAAAATCATTTAAACTCTGTCTTGGGAGTTGAAGCATCGTTATCTGTAAGAAATATGACACCTAATATTGAGGGTCAAGATTCTTTGAATCTCACAAGGCCGATGCTCATTCTGACAACCAGAGAAACAGTTAATATAAGTATTTGGAACGTTTGGACACTCAGGGAAGCCAGGAGATCAGCCAAAGTGCCACGGAAATTAAGAGATAAGACGTGGCGGCGCTCCGAATCAGTGAAATTCATTGGACTCATGCTGGAAAGCAAAGGTTAGTTACAGGAGAGATGCTGTTGTACTCTGGTTATGAAGAAAATGTTTCAAACAGTTAAAGAGTTGCTCTGATACCGTCCAAACAAGCACGAAATGCACTTGTTGGGTGGGAATCTCATGGATTCAGGATCACCGAGATATCCTTTAAGTCAAAGGAGGAGGGAATCACTATGAATGTTACCCAGTGTTGTGCACAAGTCAGTGATGGCAACGAATACAATAAGGATCAGTTCTGTGAGAGGCTGCAAACAATCATAGCGAAGTGCCTACTAAAGAATCACCCCATCCTGATGGGAGACCTTAAAGCCAAAGTCGGGATATATAGCACTAGATTTGAAGATATCATGGGACGGCATGCACTGGGAGAGAGAATAAAAAATGGAGAGAGATTCCCAAACCTATGTGCACTCAAAAAATTGCTTATAGACGGCAAAATATTACCACACAAACTACATGGACCTCATCGGACCACACCACGGAAAACCAGATAGATCATATTTGTACCAACAAAAAATTCAGGACAATAGAAGATGTGGGGACCAGGAGAGGAACTGACGTAGCTTCAGACCACCACCTGGTTTTGGTCAAGATGAAACTGAAGTTAAAGTAACACTAGACAGCCGGGGAAACAGCACTACAAAGATTGAATACAACCTCTCTATGAGACCTTAACAAACTCAACGAATTCAAGATATCTCTAGACAACAGGTTCCAAGCCTAACGGGATCTACAGAAAGAAAAAGAAACTACGATGGAGGACAACTGGAAAGGGATAAAAGAAGCATTAACTTCAACGTGCCAGGAAGTGCTGAGCTGCAAAAAGCATCATCATAAGGAGTGGATCTCTATCGAAACCCTGAACAGGATTCAAGAAAGGACGAACAGAAAGGTAACAATTAACAATATCCCAACACGAGCGGAGAAAGTCAAGACACAAGTTGAATACAAAAGCAAGTGGAGAAGAACATTGGAGCTGACAAGCAGAAATACTTAGAAGACCCAACAAAGACAGCGGAAAAGCTGCAAGAGAAAATATGAGACAACTTTATGATGCAATGAAGAAACTAGCGGGGAGATACGGTAAACCAGAGAGACCGGCCAAGGACAAAGAAGGTAATTCAATCACTGAAATTTAATAACAGAGAAACAGGTGAATAGAGTACTTTGAGGAACACTTGAGTGGACCGGCTCCATTGAATCCACCGGACATCGAAAAGGCACACACAGACATCAGACAAATCAAGTGCGGAAAAAAAAACAGAAGGACCTGACAATATATCAGCCGAAGCACTGAAATCAAACATAGAGGTAATTTCAAACATGCTCCACGTTCTATCCAGGAAGACGTGTGAGGTGGAACACGTTTCGATAGACTGGCAGGAATAATACTTCATCAAGATACCCGTTATAATTCGATCTTATTACAACTTAGCTACTCCTATTGCTTAGAATTCTTTACTCAACAGGTCCTCAAATCAGAAAACGGTTGAACAGGAAAGAGATTATGTTCCAAATAACAAGGTTAGATGGAAGTAAGAAGCACAATAAGAAAAACGCTAGTATATTTATGTTTTACGCAAGAAGATTCTATAGTGTTCTACAGGTATCGACTGGCGCTGATTAGATAAGAACCAGCCAATCAGCATGCACCGACTCAATCGTGCATCGGGCATGCTATAATCCAGTCTGTGTGCGGCTAACACCTCCCTTTTGACCAGGTCTGTAGAATCTGGTGTTATGGTCCAAGTGTATACGCTGCCATGGTGACTTTGGTAATGGACATAATTGCAATTCTTCTGTTCACGATGCTTTTGTTGCTAATGTACATTTGGTACACGAACGGGACAGATGTTACAGTTGGGTGTCTAGATACAGTCAGTATACATAACTTCGTGTTAGTGCCTTCATGCGATTTACTCCAGGATTTTTTGCGTGCAACTGTTTAAGAACTGCTGGTTGCAGCTTCCTTGTAATTGTGATAGGTTTGGCAAACAGCAGGCAGTCATCCATGATTGAGAGACAGTCTACGCTGGTAAAACTGTTGGAGCTCTGTAGAACTGATCTTTGAGAGCCATCCTTCTAGATGGAACTTTCTAACTCCTTGTAGGATTGAGTCTCGAAGTGTTTCTTCTCTGATTTCACCTGACAGCACTGGAGTGTTTCGAATGCCATCTGCCACTATACTCCGTATTTCTGGATCCACTGCTGTGAAGACGATGACTGTGTCCTCTGGTCAATAGTGATGAAATTCAGTAAATCGAGAGAGAGCGTCGGCTTGACCGATAGTATGTTTGAACTGAAACTTGATATTGTAGTCATAGCTCAGAACCATATGGACGAAAATTTCTTTCTTGGAACCGAAAACTGCGATTAAAGGTTTGTAGTCTGTCAGTATAGTAAACGTACAGCCGTAGAGAATTTTATGGAGTCTTTTGACAGCGAAAGTGATTGAGAGGTCTTTTTTCGGACTGGTTGTAGTTCCGCTCTGCTAGGGTGAGTGATCTTGTAGCACGAACAATTGTTTTCTGATCTGTCCGGAAACACGACAATTCCCAAACTGGGATCGAAGTGAATGAAAAGAAGCTTTGAGCTGAGCACTGAGTTGACTTTATCAAAAGATGCTTGTCATTCTGTCGACCACTGCCAAGGTTTATCTTTCGATAGTAATTCATTCAAGGAACCTTACACTCGATGCATTTCAGGCAGGAATGTGCTGTAGTGACTGATTAACCTCAAGAATGATTTTAATGAAGAGACATCGGTTGGTGCAGGCGTCTTCTGAATGGCCTCGATGTTAGCAGGGTCTGGTCTGCAACCGTTCTTATCTAAGATGAAACCAAGGTATTTGATCGAACGCATGAAGAAGATACACTTTACTTCACGTAGTTGGAAACCACACTCCAACACTCGGTTAGGGACTTGATGTAGTCAATCAGAAAGTTCACTATCAGTCGAACCCGTAACCATGATATCATCTAGGTAAGCTGCTGTACCAGGTATAACTGTTAGCAACGCATCAACTATTTGCTGAAAGATGGCAGGTGCGGTCCTGATTCCAAATGGTAAACGGGTGTATTGAAATAACCCTCGATGAGTTTTAATGGTCAGAAGATCTCTACTATCTTCATCCACTTCCACTTGCAGATAGGCATCGGATAAATCTATTTTCGCGAAACATGTTCCACCATTAAGCTTGGAAAATAGGTCCTCAGGAACTGGTAACAGATACTGATATACATCCAATGTAGCATTTAAACCGGTCGAGAAATCGGCAAATATGCGTATAGCTCCATTGGCCTTCTTAATCGCTACAATCAGTGTGGCCGTAGCAGAGTAGTTGACTGATTAGATTACACAAGCATGTTGCAAGCGATTAAGTTCTTGATCTGCCAGTTCAAGAGCAGCATATGGTACAGGACTTCTCGGACGAGAACTAGGTTTGGCATCTGCTTTCACTGGTGGGGTAAGCTTTCATCTTGGTACAGTGGCCAAGGTTGTTCTGAAGAACAGAGACTAACTTTCTCATCAGTTTTTCTAGTAATTTTTCACCTGTCTTCTCTGCAAGTGCTGGAGTGTCCAGTGACTAACACGCTACGTTGTAGACACTGTTAATGAGTGCATCCATTATTCTAAGTTTTTCTAACACATCTAGACCAAGAAGATCAAGGTTTGGCCGTTCTTTTAGATTGTAGAGTCCTTAACATTAAGTTGCATTGAAAGAAAATTCACAAACCGGTTTTAGCACAGCACCTGATGTATTTTTAGCCATTTTCTTAGATGGATTCAACGGCGGTTTTCCCAGCAAGTTATGAGTTTCTCTAGACAGTAAGGTGATATTCGATACGGCGTCAGTTTGAAGACGGGCTGATATGCTGTTTGTCTGGATAGTAACATACTTTCCCCGAATGTCATGGTTTGTTTGAAAAACTGCTACTAGAGAAAGAGATTTGGACTCGGCTGATTTCACCACCTATCGAGGACGTTTATACTTCTTCTTGGGCTGGGACGTACGATTCGGTAGACTATGACCTTCTTTATGTCCATGTTCGTTGCGCACCTGACATTTATGCTTCTCAAATGGACAGAATAGTACATAATGCCAGTCACCACATAAACACCATGCAGTCATTGATTTGTTACGAGTTTTTATCGGCTTCTGAACTTTCAACCTTGCAAATGTACGAACAAACCACAGAAGCACACTTATATTAATACTAGGAAGAGTTTTCAACAGGGTGTCGGTGAACCAGATGAAAGATTCTGGTAGGTACCCGATTTCAACACGCCGTACTCCGTAAGGATGGGTCGGACACATACCAAAGCGCGACACTACAGGTCGTTGTTGTTCGACCAATCTCATGAAATTAGTCACTACGGCTCAACGCCCTTGATTATAAGA